TTACTCTAATGACTCAGGACGTATTTTTCTTTAGGTTGCAGGACTTCTATCAGAATTATCCCACTTCCATGCCATTCCTTAAAACTACAAATGAACAAGGATAGACAGTTGGAACATACTTAAGAAATAGAGGCTTTCAGATAGATTAAGAGAAGACAGATATTGCGTCTTCTTGTACGTTAAATTAAAATCATGTAACCTACATGACTGAATTGTCCCAGTTTGCCTTTCATGGGAAGTGGAAGTCAAGGAAAGGACAATATTTTACCTAGCAAAGTAATGTAGATATTTTATGTATATAAAATATATTATTGTACTTGCATTAATTTTGGTGAATTTAATATATTTTTAGTTATGTTGTGAGTGAGGCAGGTTGGTAATACAGAGGGCATAAAATCTGATACCAAAAGATTTGGGAATTTGACTGGCTCTGCCTTCTGTCTGTATGATAGCTCTTTATGGTTTCCTCATCTTTGCAATTTATAGTCTTAAGCTTTTTCATAAATTTGTGTGAGCTAAGTGTATTCACAAATATAAAAATATCATGTAGAATATACAACTCTAAGTAGATAAATTAATTTCTTAATATTGTTTTTTAATCACTCTGGATGTTCACTGATTGATCTTTCTCTGTGATTGAAGCTTCAAAGTTTCAGGAGATTTTTCTTTTTAACTGATAGAGTTCCATTTTATTTCCGCAGTACCAAACATTGGTAGAAAACTCTATGAGGGTAAAACAAAAGAAGTCTACGAATTGTTGGATAGTCCAGGAAAAGTCCTCCTGAAGTCCAAGGACCAGATTACAGCAGGAAATGCAGCTCGAAAGAATCATCTGGAAGGAAAAGCTGCAATTTCAAATAAAACTACCACCTGTATTTTTCAGTTACTGCAGGAAGCAGGTAAGTGGCTACCTACTTACTCTTATCTTTCTGCTTCTCTCTCCTTGCACCTTTCTTTTCCTCTCTTCCCAACACGTACACACCCTAGTCTTGGTCATGAGGAGATGACATTATTTGGAATAACATGTTGTTTGATGATACTGCACAAGCTAAGTCTTTAACATTTTGTTTTGCAATCAGTAATGTCATTTGATTAAAAGGAGTTGTAACAATTTGTACCAGATAAAGATTGCTTCTTTGTCTGCCTTCTGCAAATTCTCTTTTGAGCTTTAAGGACTTTATCTATACAAAGAAATCTCTTGGTTTTGTTGTTGTTAGGTGCCATCGAGTCAGCTTTTCGTTTTAGGCAGCTCTCACTGATGGCATTTACTACCTATAATTTCGGCACATTTGTTCTTTGCTTTGCTTCTTGGAGGCAATACAAAATTTCACATACCTCTTCCACTTGAAAGCCCTGGATAATATTTAAAAATAGCCAGGCTTATATATGTTGGCATTCCCCAAGTTTAGACCAGATCTAAGTAGAAATCTGTTTGAAAGATTACGATTAGGAGACCCATTTTATACAAGACATTTGGAGCATGTTTTTAGTATGTAAAATTTCATTTCATTGCCGCTCTGGATTGTAAAAATGGAGATACTCTGTGATCTTTGACTTATGGCAGGAATCACCCTCAACAGCCTAATGCCAGTTCTTACGAGATCAGACTGGCTTTCCTTACTCAGAATTTATTGCAGTGTCCACATTAAAATCACATACCGTACTCATAGTTACGGGATTATTTTTTGTTAGGTACCATCAAGTTGGAACCCACTCATAGGTAACCCTCCAGCAGGTTTTCAGAGACAGTGTATCATGCGGTAGTTTGCCCATTTTTCCCCCCACATGGTGGGATTCGAACTTCATGCCTTTAGGTTGGCAGTGCAACTCCTTACCACTAAGCCACCAGAGCTACCTGTTGCAAGGTTTATCAGATAATGATTCAGAGTCAGGAATGATGCAAGATAGTCTTCAGTTAGCATAGTCTTTTCTTGGCCATGTCTGGAGGCAGACCTCCCTCTATCCCTCAGCCTCTTGGTCTTCTCCCTGCTAAAGCTATTGTTACAAAGTTCTCTTAGTTTGGCCAGTGTAAGTGCCCTCCCAAACAGCCCACTTTGCTAAGCAAGCCTTGGTTTAAAGGTATACTTCCTTAGTTTGACGGTTTGTCAAATCTAGCTCCTCGACAGATGCCTGTTTTTCTGCTGTCACTCACTATCTCTCTGGCTAATTCTGGGATCATGGAGTTTCAGCCCGTGAAGCTCAGTCCAAAAGATATGCTCTCCATTCTTGGCCCTTCTTTCTTGTTGGCATTGAGATTTTCTCTTTTTCTGCCTCTGGGATGGCTCCACATTGACTTTCTGGAGGGTTAACTTAGGACTGAAAATCCAAATAATGTAAACTGACAATAAATGTTGTTATATTAAACCATGCAGAATTATGAATTCTAAATCTACCGGCTGCTTCATGGGAATAAGTAGGGCAATCTCCCATTTGTTTTACTGCCTCTGTAAACTTTGCTGGAGGGTCACATATGGGTGATTCTGGATCAGTGGTACACAACATCAGCATGGACTTTTTGTAAAGTTTCTATTCAGGGACAAAGGCAGCAACTGTTGAATGAATGATAAAGATCCTAGGACCCAAATTTTCTGATTCAGTATAATTTTTCCCCCCAGTATGTATATATGATGCAACAGTAAAATGAAATATATTTTTAATAAATTAAGTAGTAGAAATCAATATTATTAATTTTATTTTCTGCTTTTACCTTTTATTAAAAATTACTTTTTTAAAAATACAATCACTTAGGCAAAGGTGTTTGGCTCCATAGGATTTTTTTCTGCTAAAGGGTTGTTGCTGTTGTTATGTGCCGTTGAGTCGCTTGCGACTCAATAGCAACCCTATGTACTAGAGCTCTAAACCCTGCTCTATCCTGTGCCAATCCCACTGCCTCTGACACACCCATCCCGATTACCCCAGTCACTGAATCAGTCTATCTCATAGAGGGTCTTCCCCTCCTGTGCCGTCCCTCCACCTTCCCAAGCATGATGTCCCTCTCCAAGGACCTGTCCCTCCTTACAACATGTCCAAAGTATGTCAGACGAAGACCCAGAATCCTTGCCTCCAAGGAGCAGCCTGATTTAACCCTCTCCAGGATGAATCTGTTTGTTTTCTTGGCAGTCCATGGTATATTCAATACTCCTCTCCAGCACCACAGCTCAAAGGCATCATTTCTCCTTCTATCCTCCTTGGTCATTGTCCAACTCTCTGATGCATAACAAGTGATTGCAAAGACCTTAGCCTGTATCAAATGCACCTTAGTCTCCAGAGTGACACCATTGCTCTTCAGTACCCTGGAGAGGTCCCTAACAGCAGACATTCCCATTGCAATACGTTTTTTATTTCCTGGCTACTGGTGCCAAGAGTATTAACCATGGAGCCAAGCAGACTAAAGTTGTTAACAATCTCAGTCTCTTCACCATCCATCCTGATGTTGCCAGTTGGTCCAGTGGTGAGAATCTTTGTCTTGACTTTGAGCTTCAGTCCATAATGAAGGCTGTAGTCCTTGACCCTCTGCAGCAAGTGCTTCAGGTCCTCATCAGTTTCAGCAAGCAGGGTTGTATCAACTGTATAATGCAGATTGTTAATAGATCTTCCACCAGTCCTGATGCCACACTTCTCATAGAGCCTAGCCTCTCGGATAAGCTGTTCTGCATACAGGTTGAAAAGGTATGGAGATAGAACACATCCCTGGCATATGCCTTTCCCAATTTTGAACCATGCAGTGTTTCCTCGCTCTTTTCTGACAACTGCCTCTTGGTCCAAGTATAGGTTTTGCCTTAGAGCGAAAGTGTTCTGGGATACTCTATATTATGTACCATTATAAGAGAAATTTACGAAGTAATGGATACTTTTATCATTGTCAATGTAGGTATCAAAACTGCTTTCACCAAAAGATGTGAGGAGACATCTTTCATTGCACCCAAGTGTGAGATGATCCCAATTGAATGGGTTTGTAGAAGAATAGCAACTGGTTCTTTTCTCAAAAGAAACCCTGGTGTCAAGGAAGGCTACAAGTTTTACCCACCTAAAGTAGAAATGTTTTTCAAGGTAATTATTTTATGCTTAAATATTTTGTGATAATTTAGTAGTAGACTTAAAATGACAAAGGCTTTAAAGATTTTTAAACGTTTGTGTTTGCTAATATTGCCAGATATCATCCCCAGAAATTTGTCAGTAATGGATACCTCTACTAGCAATATACACATCAGTTTATAAAATTAAAACAGCTGCAAAAATCCACTTCTATCTGAATTATAACAAATTAAAACTGACAATTAGTAGGAAAAAATGCTAGCAAAATTTCAGAACATTTTCTCTTGAAGAATTAAAAATGAAGACTAAAGAATCTTACTGAATTCTAAAAGAGAAAATTGTGTTATCAGTGTTTCTTAAAGGCAAAAATACCAATGATAGGTATCGTCTGTGAGTTTATATTGGTTTTACTAAATCAACTTTTCTCTCTCCATTTTAACATTTGATGTTAAGTATAGTTCTACTGAGGAAATAAAATCAGTGTTAAATTTTAATCAGTTGCATAATTCAGGTGTTCATATTAATCAGGAATCCATAAAATAGAGACATAATGTGAAGATGGGACACAGGAATAAAATGAAAGTTTTGTGTTTTGGTGTGGTTTAGTTTGTTTCGTTGTTTGAAAATTTTTTTAGAGGTTTTTTCTCATGAATCTGAATATTTTTTTTAAAACCTTACTGCTGTTATTAGCAACAGATCACATTTGCTTTCTCCCCCACATCCTTTCCATACTGTGCATCCCTGTGGTTTCACCCCCACCTGTACTCACTACTCTACCCCCTTCCCCCTTGAGTGCCTCCATAGTTTACTAGTTATCTTTCTCTTTTTACAATAATGGTCTTATGCAGTACTTGTCCTTCAGCGACTGCATTAGTTCACGTAGCGTAATGCTCACCATCCTCTCCCAAGCTAGGTAGTATTTCTTTAAATTGTTGCTCCTGAGTGCTACACAGTATATTCCATTGTGAGAATGTACCACAATTTCTCAATCTATTCACTTGAGGTTGGACATTTGGGTTGTTTCCATATTCCTATGATGGTGAATAAAATTTCCTTGGATTATATGTCTAGTGGTGGAATAGCTGGGTCATATGGAGTTTCTATGTTCAACTTTTTTCAGAAAGTGTCAAAACTTTCTTTGAGCTTGGTTGCATACCTTAGTCTTTAAACTGACATCATTACTTAACATTTGGAGAGGACCTTGACACATTTTCTCAATGCAACATACATTTTGCTGTTGTTACCTTGGGTTGTTCATGGTAAAAAGAAATTGTTGACAACTTCAGTCTTTTATAAATGTATCATAATGTTGCCTGTTGGTGAGCCCCAGGTTGTTGGGACTTTTCCTGAGGGCTCTTGAATTTTCATCTATAATAATGTTCCTTACATTTGACCTTTTATAAGTATATAACAAAAGTATAAGTAGATACAGTATGATAGATTGCTATTACATATCTCCCATCATGATGGTTTTGTAACTCCTTCCATATAATTGGATGGAATTATGCAAGTAAGATGCTTATGGCTAACACTAGGTTTGGACAGCTTGACAATAAAGCAAATAAGGTGTATATGGTACCGTAAGGAAGGGATTGATCAGTACTGCCATGCCACAAAGCTTAAAATCACCAATCTAATGTTGTGAGTGGTTTGGGAATCTCGATACTACCAAACAAGAAGAGGCAGGAATGCAGTGTATCCTTAAGTCCCTGCACTGAGAACTGCCTAGATTCATGAGACAGCAAGAGTGGTAACATTGGAGACAGTGCTAGATAGTGAAAAGCTGTGGCAGCAGAACAGAGACCTGCACAAAAATCTGTATGTTCTTGAGTTCAGTGGAGTCAGGATTGACTCCTAACTGACCCACCAATGAGTGTTCAGAGGCAGTAAATCGCATAGGAGGAGATCACTTGTCCTTCTGTTGCAAAGCATGGTTCTTTTTGAAAATAGTGCAGAATAAGACAGTGTTTTGTGGTGTTGCTACTGGGAGTTGAAACTTAACTCCATACTACTTGACGACAACAACATTGTGTGCTGAGGAATTAAAAAATTAAAGACAAAATAGACTTTTTTCCCCTGATGCGTTAAAAATTTTAAATGAATGGTATTCTTAAAATGTTTTCTCAGGATGATGCCAATAATGACCCACAGTGGTCTGAAGAGCAGCTGATTGCTGCAAATTTCTGCTTTGCTGGACTTATTATAGGCCAGACTGAAGTGGACATCATGAGTCATGCCACACAGGCTATATTTGAAATACTGGAAAGAGCGTGGATGCCTCAGAACTGCACGCTCGTTGATATGAAGGTACAGTAAAATAAGGAGGTTTGAAATGAATTAAAATTGAGAAGTATCTTTAAGAGTGTGGTTTTAAAAACTTTTCTTTGGTGATACGTTGTTTCTAGATTGAATTTGGTGTTGATGTGACCACCAAAGAAATTGTTCTTGCTGATGTTATTGATAATGATTCTTGGAGACTCTGGCCTTCGGGAGATCGAAGCCAGCAGAAAGACAAACAGGTGATTATTTTTCTTTCTTTCACTGGTGAGCTTGGGATAGTGAAAGAGGGAATGAGAGGGAAACTATTCTCTATCATATGTATGTGATTTACTGATTACTGTTTATTTTCAAAGATCATATCTAGTATAGTCTTGAGAGGAAAGGATGGGAATAGTACTTTACAATGATACAGCTAATTTTTTTTGTTATGCTCTTTTATACAACTCTCATTTTGTTTTGCTTGTTGGTATTTTTAAGTGGATAAGTACCTTTACAATTATAAAAGTGGGAGACTTTTCTAGGATTTCACTTTTGTCCCTCAAAAAAATCAAGAAAAATTAGGAATCTATTGAATATATAAGAATTCTCAAGAGAGTTCATTGTAATTGCTAGTGTAAAAAGCAGTCACAGTTAATTGAAAATCCCTGTCTATGTATGTCACTCTTTTGCTTTGTTTAGCCAAACTCAAAGAAATAAATCAGCAGATTCAGATACATTTTCCGTTATCTGGTCTTGAACACTTAAACTATCAATTATTTCTATCTAAAAGTCTGAAGGCAAGAGATCTTTGTATTTCACAACCTCCTTTCTTGTTTTTTAGTCATATCGTGATCTTAAAGAAGTAACTCCTGAAGGGCTGCAGATGGTTAAGAAAAATTTTGAGTGGGTGGCAGAGAGAGTAGAGGTAAACCTTTTGTAGTAAATATATAATGTATTGCATGCTTTGCTTCTAAGAAAAGTTTTTTTTTGTTTCGGAAAAATAATGAATGTGGCTTTGTTGTTGTTATGTACTATTGAACCGACTTACAGCACCCTGTTTAAGAGTTAGATTTAAACTTTGACCACTTCTGCCCCATCCTCCCAATATCTTACTTACTCAAGCTCACTACTGTAGTCATGTTGGTACATCTTGTTAAAGGTCTTCCTTTCCTCCTGACAACATGCCCAAAACACGTGAGACAAGGTCTCATCATCCTTTTACCCTTCCCCACCAGCAATAACTTGATAGAAAGCATTTGTAAGAAATGCCTCAAGTAGAAAGTCCTAGCAAGTATACCTATCTGTATGCCCTAGTCTTAAGTTATCCATTCAGCCATCCCAGATCCTACTGGGGAGACTTGGAATCTTTATTTCTTTCCTATTCTAGTTAGAAGATGTCTTATCCTTCATACATTGAGTTGATGCTGCAGAGTTAAAATGACATGGATGGATCCTCATATTCTGAATGCCATTTCATGTAACTTTACTGTCATTCCATGGAAGGTGAAATACAGTTTTTGCTATCTTATTATCACAATCATCTTTTAGAGAATTATTTTCAGGATAGTATACATTTTGAGTTCTAAGCCGTTAACGTCTCTACTTTGGCCAAATATGCCTTAAGACATACTTTAAAACTCTACAGCTAGAGAAGGAAAAAGAAAACATCTTGCAGATGCAGATGTTTCAAATAAACTGCCATCTATTTGAAAAGTTAACAAATACAGAAAATTTAAAACTGCTGAACAGCAGCAACAGTTTGCAAAAGGTCTCCACTAAGTAGAATGAATTAGAAATCTCAGTGTGAAATAATTTATCATTTTCTGAATATTGGTGTAAAGTTTCAGTATTTATCCTTGCTTTTTATTTACTAGGAAACAGTTTGTCTAGAGAAGTTAATTTTTAAAAGAAATTCTGTATTCTGTTTGAGTTTTCTATTTGTTTGGAAAATAGTAATCTGTCCAGATATAATTTTTACTATAAACTAATAGCTTTGTAAATGACTCTTTGTTGTATTTATTCTTACATTACCTACTTTTTGTCTTCTCATATTCTTATTTTTCTTCTCCAGTTGCTTCTGAAATCAGACAGTCACTGCAGAGTTGTCGTATTGATGGGCTCAACCTCTGATCTCTCTAACTGTGAGAAAATCAAGGCAGCGTGTGGAAAATTTGGCATTCCATGTGAACTTCGGGTGACATCTGCCCACAAAGGACCAGATGAAACTCTGAGGATTAAAGCCGAATATGAAGGTAAACTTGAGATAATTCAAGTTGTTCTCCTGACTTTGCTGAAAATTTTGCATTTTAGGTGAATATGGCTGAAAAGGAGTTTTGCCACTTAGCTAAGGGAGGGAGGGAAATATGATATATACTAGGCTTTCATGATACGTCCTCATAGTCCACATTCTTCTTCAGAGTCCAGCTTCTTAAATATGTTCAGCATACAGATTTATTAGGAATGGAGAAAGGATATATCTCTGGCACCCACCTTTTTGAACCACAGTGTTCCCTTGCTCTGTTCGCACAGTAGCCTTTTGGTCTAGGGATACATTTTACACAAGCACTATTAAATGTTCTGAGATTCCCATTTTTCTCAATGTTAGCCATAATCTGTATGCATCTGAGAGCTGGATAGTGAGTAAGAATAACAGAAGTTCTGCAGGCACTATTAAAAGAAAGACCCAGATAAAAAGACTTGAAAATGCAAGCCAAGAAAGAAAATTAAGACTTGATTATGAGGATCTCTTGCATCTTTACCTAATAAGAAGCCCTTTAGGCATTGTTGCTGCACTAGAAAATGGGCCCTGTGTCAATTATGGGAAACCAGAGTGGAAATAACAAATCTTAAATATCTTTAATGACCAACATTTCCTTGGAGATAATTGAATATTACATTAAGGAAATTTCAGGATATAGTACATAAAAGAAGCGTCTTGACAGTAGAACATTGATCTAAAATAATCATGGCTTTTCTCAACTGGAAAAAATGTTTAATGACTATTCCTAAAAATAATTGCCTTAGTAGTTTTTAGTAGAGTAGTTTTTAATGTGGGCTTGGGTAGAGTGGAGGAGGTTCCAGGTTTCGGTTTCTTTAATAGGCTAATGAAAGATACGACTTTGCTGCCTAAAAAATGCAGTTGTATACAGTTTTGTCCTCTAGATTAAGAATCTGTTCTTTAGGAAACAAAGGATTTAGATACTACATTTTTTTTATTTGCCTTTCACTGCTCTTTAAAGAAATACTTGTCTAGTAACTGGTTCTTCTCGGGCCTTTTGGGTAGATGGACAAGCTAGTAGGACAGCTGGTGTCACTCAGGTGGTGAGCCTGTGTAGCAATGGTAAGAGGCAATTGTGGCCATTCCCTCACCAGCTCCTGCCATCATTATGTATTAGAAATCTTGAAGATGACTAACCTTATTCTTTTACTTAACTGTTTAAGTTGCAGAATAAAGTCTTTCTTATTTTCCACATACTACTGCTAAAAGATAAGGTAGATGGGTGTTTTGATTCAACCTATCTTTAAATATTTTAGGTGATTAATTATAAACTTGTTTTTGTAGGAGATGGCATTCCTACTGTATTTATAGCAGTAGCTGGCAGAAGCAATGGTTTGGGACCAGTGATGTCTGGAAACACTGCATATCCAGTGATAAGCTGTCCTCCCCTCACAGCAGACTGGGGTGCTCAGGATATATGGTCTTCTCTCCGACTACCCAGTGGTAGGTTGTATTGAAGTTTTTTAAACTGTTTGTTATAAAAATGGCAAATACACAGAAACAGTAGAGACTAGTATCATAGAATCCAGGTACCTATTACACAGATGCAGCAATTAACAAATATGCAACTTTGTTGTATCTGAAATACTTTCCTGCCAGATTATTATAAAGAATATCTTAGATATATTTAAATACATACATAGTTAAATGTAAATTTCTAATACATAGATTCTATTTATTAATCAGGATTGTACCATTGAGGTGTCAGACGCCATAATAGTTAGTTACCCGTGATGGACAGTGTTTGGTGGAGCTCCCAGTTTAAGACAGATTTGGAAGCAGGAGTGCCATCTACTTCCTAAACAACATGCCTCTGCAAACTATGAACTTTTTTAAAAAATTTTTTTAAATTTTAGTGTGTTTGTGTGTGTGTGTGTACTGCCGGATCAGATCTGACTGGTACAGGAGGAGATTGTTTCTCCTTCTACAGCAGAGCATCTGGTGGATTTGAACCATGCACCTCTGGGATTGATTGCAGTACACCTTCTTGCCACTAGGCCACCAGAGCTCACCGGAAACTATGAACTTTGATAAATGACAATAGTTATAGAAAGGCTTCAGGCCTTTTGTTCATAGCCTTTCCGTGAGTAGTGCTTAACTCGATGACAATCAAAAACAACAACAAGGACAATTACTAGCAATTTCTTAAAATCATTTAAGATGGTGAAGAGATTGAGATTGTTAACAGGTTTAATTTGCTTGGCTCCACAATCAACACTCTTGGTACCAGTAGCCAGGAAATAAAAATAGACGAATTGCATTGGGAAAGTCTGCTGTCAGGGACCTCTCCAGAGTACTGAAGAACAATGATGTCAGTTTGGAGACTAAGGTGCACCTGATCCAGGCCATAGTTTTCAGATATCTTGCTAGGTGTCAGAAAGCTGGACAGTGAGTAGGGATTATAGAAGGAGAATTGGTACCTTTCGGATGTGGTGCTGGAGAAAAGTATTGACTATACCATGGACTGCTAGAACAGACAGATTAGTCCTAGAGAGGATGAAACCAGGCTGCTTCTTGGAGGTAAGGATTCTGAGGCTTTATCTGACATACTCTGGGCATAGTGCAAGGAGGGACCAGATGGATTGAGTCAGTGACTGGGGTAATGAGGGTAGGCACAAGATAGAGCAGGTTTCAGGGCTATTATACATAAGGTCACTATGAGTTGCAAGTGACTCAAGAGCACATAACAACTCAGGTTTTGTTTTTCTAAATTTTAATTGTTTTTATTTCAGGAGTATTTTGTAATAAAGAAATCAAAGCAAATTTATTCCTTTTAGATGTAGAATTTGATAAGATTCCAGTCATGATTTCCAAATCCATCTTCTTTGCTATTCTGCAGATATCTGAGATCTCGCCCCACCTCCATAAAATAAATAAACCAAAGTTTTATTTTTATAGTTGGTTGGTTGGAGTCTAGATTCAATGCAATCCTAGTATTACATTTACCTAGTATATATTATCTTTTAATCTAAAAATGTTCCCTCTTTCTAGCTTATATAAAATGTCTTACATTTTGCATTTGAACAACTACATTCCTGGATATTTTTGTTTTTCCATTCCCTATATTTTCTGTGTAATGGTGGTAAAAACAGTCATTAACTCAGATTCAAATCTTATATTACACCTTTTTATTTACTTCTCTTTCAAGGAATAAATTCTTTATGGCATTGAATCTTTTAAAGTGCATGTTACTTTATAGAGAAAAATATTTTTTAAAATTAAGGACCAAAACAGATAATATAAAATATTGAGGTTCTGATGTTGGCTGATTGAGAAGGATCTCCTAGATCAGTAGAACTCTGGTATGTTCTGAGCATCATAGTCTAAGATACTGGTTTTTTATAATCAAGATAATCTGAGTTTTGCATGTCACAGTAATCTATTATTTGTTGCAATAAGTTGTTTATTTCCCTTTTGCTTAACACCAGTTCAAACCCAAACTTGCTTGTCTCAGTCAGCTCTTGACACCTGTTAAGTACATGACATATTGTACCTTTTGGCCTGTTTTCTATTCTGGAATTCTTGTATGGTATGTAAAGTTAAGTGCTCAACTGCTTGCCAAAAGGTTGAGCCCTATTCAGATCCCTTGGACGATGGACATGGTAATAATCTGCTACCTGAAAGGTCAAAGCCTGGAAAATCCTTCGAAGCTCAGTTCTGACTTGACTGAGAGTGCTGTTGCAGACCGAGAGTCCCAAAGAATAGAATAATTTTATAATTATTAATAAAGAGACAAACAGCCAGGAATGAGATAGAGCAGAGAGCATAAAACGGGGTCAGCAGTTCTCGACTGAAGACCTCAAACCATGCTTCTCTGAGTATCTATTTAGAATCATAAGATAATAAAAGTAAAATCACAAGGAAGTACAAAACAAAGGATAATGGTGAAGTCTTTTACAGATCTGACTGGTACAGGATATTGCTCCTCCTCCGGCAGAGCATCTGGTGGATTTGAACCATTTACCTCTGGGATTGCAGTGCAGCTTCTTGCCACTATCATCCAGGAAGAGTGCAAATGGTCATTGCAAAGACAGAAGAGGAAGAAAAGACCAAAATAGATGTCAGAAGAGACTCTGAAAATTGCACTGAAGGGCAGAGAAGCCAAACCACAGGGAAGAATTCAAGATACTAAAGAGTTGAATAGAAGATATCAAAAGGCAGCACGGGATGACAAAGCAAAATATTACAATGAAATGTGCAAGGAGTTGGAGTCAGAAAATCAAA